TAAGAGGAGTCTTGATGCCTTGGTGAAAGACTTGAATTTCGATTCATCGAAAGTCACCATGTGTCATATAAATTTCAGTATTTCTGGCATAAGCTATGAAATTGTTTGTGGTTATAGGCCACCTTCCACTGACATACAATCTTTTTTTAATGACTTGGGAAATTATTATTCTAACAGAAGGAAAAAACAGATTGAGCTTCTGATTGGTGACATCAATATCAATATCTCCAATAGGGAGGATATAGAAGTTAATCAATATCTATCTCTTTTGCATTTCTATGGATTTAACAGTGCTATAAATGGCCCGACACGAGTGACACCAAGCAGTGGCTCGTGTCTAGATCACATATTCGTAAGAAATAGTTATAAAACAAATTTATTTCAGCAAGCTTCATTTATACTTGAAAGTGACATAACTGATCATAACCCTGTAATGATTAATTTTTCATATAAAAATATACAAAAGAAAATTATTCAGATATCCAAAATAGTTTCAACATTTAATGACCATTTATTTGAAAATCTAATTAAGGGAGAAAGCTGGAAGGAGGTTTTTGAAACAAATGTTGCAGATATTGCTGCCCAAAATTTCATTGAAAAAGTTAGCCAATCCATAGAAAAAGCTACAGATCGCAAAACAGTTTACTATATTAACAACAGAAAACTTAAACCATGGATTACTATAGGTCTTATCTCAGCAATTAAAAAACGAGATAAAATGAAAAAATTACTCTTAAACAAGAACAGTCCGCAAGCTAAAGAGGATTACATTAATTATAGAAATAATCTGAACAAAATTATTAATAAACAGAAATTTAATTACTATAAAGCACAAATAGATTCAAATCAACATAATTTTAAAAAAATATATAATATAATATCAGACGCAGTAAATGAAAATAAGGTATATTCTGAGAAATTAGAAATAAGGGATGAAAGTGACAAATTGTTTGTGGATGAAAAGCAAATGGCTGAATATTGTAATGTTTTTTTTATTGACATAGGCAGGAAAATGGCTAATAAAGTGAAACCACCGACTGTTGCTTCTCAAATAGAATACAACGCATTAAGCTCTATGTTCTTAAAACCTGTTGATAAAATCGAAATAATTAAACATATCAATTCCCTAAAAAATAATTGTTCCCCTGGCTGTGATGGAATACAAACTAAAATGATAAAAAGATATTATAAATATTTTATTGACCCATTGGCACATATAATAAACCTAATATTTACAACAGGATCTGTGCCCGAATGTTTTAAAACTTCTATTGTTACTCCCATTTTCAAAGCGGGTGACAAAAAAAAAATAACAAATTATCGGCCTATCAGTGTTATCACAAATTTTGCAAAAATATTTGAAAAATGCCTCAAGGAGAGGCTTTGGAATTTTTTATCAATGAATAACATTTTATCAGAAAATCAATATGGGTTTCGAAATGGTATTAGCACTGTTGATGCTATTCTCAGGCTCACAAGAGCAATCACAAAACACCTTGATAGTGGTAAAAAATGTCTAACTGCTTTTCTTGATCTTGCGAAGGCCTTTGACACAGTGCCTCATGACTCTCTTATTGATGTTTTAAACATTTATGGGGTCAGAGGTGTTGTGTTGGATGTCTTTGCAAGCTATTTGACAGGTCGAAAGCAATTGACAAAAATTAATAATGTATTAAGCAATAGTTCGGAGGTTCTGATTGGCATTCCTCAAGGAACAGTTATGGGCCCTTTGCTTTTCTCATTATACATTAACTCCTTGACTAATATTCCGATAGATAATGGCATGGTGATATCCTACGCGGATGACACCGCTGTGATTTTTACAGGAGAAACATGGGAAGAAGTATATACACATGCCTCTCATGGGCTACATAATATTAAAAATTGGCTTGATACTTTTAAACTCACTTTGAATGTTGAAAAAACTAACTATATAGCTTTCTCCTTAACAATGGCAAATCGCCCCAATTTTGATGGCATTAGGGTAGACGGATTTGAAAGAGAAATTAGAGAGGTGCAACATACTAAATATTTAGGAGTAATTATTGATCAGAACCTCAAATGGAAGCAACATGTGACTAGGTTGACTAGTAATATTAGAAAATTAATTCGTAAATTTTATATGATAAAAGAAATATTAAATGAACATCTTTTAATCTGTGTTTATAGAGCTCTGGTAGAATCTCTCTTGAGATATGCTATGATTGTATGGGGAAGTTCATATGAAAATGCACTAAAACCCCTGAAAACAGTCCAAAATTATATTCTCAAGATTATTTTTGGAAAAGATAAAATGTTTCCCACCTGTCAACTTTATAGTAATAAAATCCTCTCCTTAAGGTGTTTGTATGTGTTGAGTGTCTGTTCTTATATGTATCAAAATGTCAAAATAGTGGGAGAACATGTCAGTCACTCCTACTCCACCAGGTCCAATGTTGTAAGAGACCTACAGATACCTAACAGTGCCACTAATTTAAATATAAGATCTATTGAATATCTTGGTGTTAAAATCTACAACATCCTACCAGTGGAACTCAGAAGGATGACAGTTAACAAAAAAAAATTTATGCATAACTGTAGAGACTTCATATATAGTAACTTTGTCAAGTTTTCATCTTTGTTTTAACCTTTTAATCAATCAGGCGGAGAATTGTTTCCCTTTTTTCTTTTTCTTCTGTCATGGCGTACACTAAAAATTTTTGATTATATTTAATTAGTATTTAGGCAAATATTTTAAGTTAGAAATTATCAAAATCCAGTTTTATATGTAGTAGGTACATACAGAAATTTAGTTTTCTAGGTACCCCACAACACTATGTTGATATAATTTAAAGTATATTATACATTCCATAATTATTATTGTAAATCTTTTAAAATTGTAATAATATATTGAATTGAATTGAATTGAATTGAATTGAGCAGAAACCCTTTTTTAATGCTAGTCACCAAACTGTCAACATTAAAAGGTATTATAAAATTAAATTTGAAAGAAAAAAGGAACAAGTAACATTTACAATGTTACAATCTCCTTAATTAAAAATGAATATATTGGAGCAGAATGACTATTCTACCTAATTTTGATCAATGATGATGACTTTGAAATTATTGAAAAGCTACCTACTCGGTAAACTGTTCAACATTGACTAAGTAAAGGATGCTCCAAAAGTTGGCGAGTTCACTTGTGACTTAGCTTGGATTATCGATCATTTTCCTTGTATCTCTTACTATGCTATCCATTTTACCATTAACTTATTATCTTTTCCATATTTAACCATATTTTTATTCAGGCAAGGATGTCAAAGTAATGCTCAGGCGCCATTCTTATATCTTCTTTCCTTTATTGTCTTTTTTCTTCTTCCTCGGCTTTTATTTTTCTTCATCATATCAGTGGACTGTTGATATTCTATTCCGACTTACTCTCACCCTACTATTGATTAGTATAATAGATAAAATTTTATTCAAATGCATTATAAAACACCAAAAAGGCAACGTTGCAAATCGAACAAGTTCGATATATGTATACCTTTATATTCACCATAAACAAGAGAGCCTTGAAAAACATTACTTACAATGGGCCATTGTTCGGTTTTATTGGTTTATTTTTTGCCGTCCTTTTTTTATGTTCACCGTAAACCTCTTCCACTCAAGGCCCTTTTTATTTCGATAATAACAATCGAGCTATTTTTGGTCAGCAGTGCATTACGGTTAAAATATCCGCACTAGAAACCGTAAACTAAACACATTTTGGACGGACTCTATAAAATATAACTTCCGAAGCGATACATTAATTTTGTAATATATAGTTTGTATTATGGCCTCTATGCATAAAACTTATGCAGTGATAAAGTATATATTATGTGGCAACCAATTTAAGTTGTGGCGAACATGAAACTGAATGGATAATTTGAATATAAGAAGAATCTGGTGTATTGTTGATGGGAATATTCTTAGTAGGTCCTAAACTTTTATTTATTTGTAGTATTTGAGGGTTTTCTACAACTATTTTACTGTTAGGATTGAGAATATAGACTTGGTATTACCAAAATCTTAGCGTGTTATCGAACTCTTTACCGCAATCGGTACGAATAATTTTTATCAGCCTTTATGTGAGACTTATTCTGATGTTCAAATCTTTCATGTCAAACTTGGAGAGTGAAAAGTTGCTTTACTCGCAATATCATTCCTATGAGCAACTTAAACAGGAGTTCAGCATGTCATCACGTGTCCTAGTCTAGCAAATGTGCATTTCTCTCATCATCATCATTTAGCCTTGGTTCGTCCACTGATCGACTTCTTCCCGAGACATTTCCATTTTTTTCCGTCATGCGCGGTAGGTATCCAGTTGGTGCTAATAATTTTCACGTCATCGGTTTATCTGGTGGGCAGTCGACCTCGGCTTCGCTTGTCCTTTTTCTTGCTCCATCTACCATGATTTAATGTTGCGATGTGCCCTGCCTATCTCCATTTTGCTGTTGTTATTCGCTCAAGAACATCATCAACCCCTGTTTTTTTACGAATGGCGTCATTTCGTATTCTATCTCTGAGACTTATACTAAACATCGAGCGTAAGTGAGCACAGGGAGGATATACATGTTGAAAGTTTTTCGTTTTAGTGTAATTGGGACATCATTTTTGAAGAAATCACGAAAACTGCCATATGCTGCCCATCCCAATAATGTTATTCTCCTCAGTAATTCTGCTGTTTAGTGAACTCTACCTCACTTCGTGACCCAGATTTATGCAGCTTTGCACCATATCTATCTCGTTGTTATCGACCTTTATAAGGTTGTTGGGGACTGAATTAGTCATCATTTTTGGTTTTTCAAAATTGATCTTCAAGCCTACCTTTTGTGTAGTGTCTGTCAGTTCTTGGATCATATTATCAGCATCTCGTAAGTTATCGGAAATGAAATCGATAAGAATCTTAGAGGGTGTTGCAGTTCCTGATATAGCAGTTTCGAGTTTTAAATTTCACTAATAAGGCTTCTCTCCGTTTCCAGGTTTTCCAACGATAAAAGTAGCAGGCAAATTCGTGAAACACGCCACCGACAATCTGCACCGGCCTGTTACGTTCCGCTCGAAGCACACGTTCACAGGTTTGCCCATGTTGCGGGCATATTCCAGCATACATATCGACTTTATGTTCAAGACGCGCGAGGCCAACGGTCTTATCATGTTTAACGGCGGCAAAAAGGAGGATTTTGTCGCCGTCGAACTGGTAGACGGTCACATAAACTATGTTGTCAACGTCGGAGATGGAACCGTCACGCTAAGAGATACTGTAAGGTAAGATTAATTTATCTGGATTATTCGCCAAAAAAAAATTGGATCTTATGTATGTTGAAAATAAGCTTCTAATTTTCAACTAATGTTCCAACTACTGCAGATTGCTAATTATTTCAGGTCACATTTAAATGATAATCGATGGCATACGGTGGGAATTCGAAGACCTTCCGCGAGACAGCACACCCTAATGGTCGACGACGATATAGTGATAGCGACAAACTACGGTACCGGTAATTTAGAGCTCGACGGCATTTTGTATCTGGGCGGAGTTTATAAAGATTTGTACGCTCAATTACCCCAAGAAGATGTGAAATCGCGTCACGGATTCGAAGGGTGTATTGCCGGTCTGGATCTCAACGGGGAATCGCCAAACATAATGGAGGACGCCGTGGTTCACAGTTCCCTGGTTACTGCCGGATGCGAAGGTAATTAAGAGATTATAATGTAGTTTGGGTTATTATTAGGAGCTTCGTAGGATGATATGGAAATTGGTTGATTTTAATCGCTTTAGGGGTTACTACTTACTATAAATATACTTCAAACCAAAACTTGCCCCATATAATCCGAAATGTCTATACGTTTGAAATATCAATGTTACGAAAAAAACCTATTAGACTTAAGCTTGAGTAAATCGAACCAAAGACTACTTTTCTCAATACAAAAAGTAACTTACGGATCTGTGAAGTAGGTGTACAAATAGAGGAAATATGTACGGAAGTCCGAAAGTATGAAGAAGTAAGTAGAAGTATATCACAGCTTATTGAAGTTTTTTCCTCTTTTCTGGAGTGGTAGCTGGCATTACCCATTGCTATAGTTGAGCCTCATTCAGGAATAAGTTCTATCATCTACTCAAAATATTCTTCAAACATATCAATAATCATATCTTCATGATAATTTCCAGTACGGTTTGATATCAAGGGTGGCAGGAATCTACCTTCTAAAAACCCATTCTCACCGCAGATATAGGTGATGATTAAGCTTCTCCCTTTCCTATTGAAGGAGTTATACCAATCCATCCTTCCAAAAAAGCTTGACGAGAAGTTTTAACGTTCTTATCTTGCCACATTTTTTTTTTTTGCTTTTTGGCAAATAGTTTCATGCACAATAACTTTTAAATAAAAGCCCTCGACCGCTTTGCGGTCTCGGGCTTTTATTAAGTTATTGTGCATTCAACTATTTTCCAAGCAAAATCATGCCCAAAATATGTTGGATAGTTTAATCGATTAAATTTAAAGGTCTTGTGATATAATATATGAATATCTATTAGTAATAGACAGTTAAGGATATGATTCTTTATAGTACATACCTATTTAAAAAAATGTTGAAATTGAAAACTTCTCTATGTTGACAATGTTGAGATTTTGACTTAAATTCAATAATGTCAAGAAATGCAAGATTTGAAACCGAAATATTGATTACCTTCTTTTGCCCTCTCGCCCTCAACGAATTTTTATCTCTGGAACTGTAATTTTTAATGAGGCAAAATTAAAAGATTTAAAGCCGATAGATATATTTGGAAGGGTTCTCCATTAAAACCAATGTAGATGGATATAGATTAGAGAATCCAGAAATTACAGTAATTTATCCATTCTTTGACATTACAAAGAATGTTCTGCCTTTTAATAAATTTCTCATTAAATTAACAATCAGTTTTATTTTCAGGTCAATCTGCAAAATGTAGTCACAATGTCTGCGCCAACGCTGGCATCTGCGTTCAGCAATGGAATTCTTACACCTGCGATTGCGATCTCACTTCCTTCACTGGACCAACATGTTCAGATGGTAACTATTTACAACTATTTATATTGCTTGGGACGTGAAAATGAGCGGTTTGAAATCACAGCTTCAACATAACTGCAAAATATAATTTTAAAAAAAAGTGGATTTGGTCTAAAACAAAAAACCAGCGAACGCAAATTTGAGCTTCAATTTTTTAAAAGGTGTGCAGGACGGTACGCCCTGTATCTAGTGTTTCATAGTTGCAGATGTGTTTCAGGACAGCGAGCCCTGAATGTAGGTTTCTTGTTTCTTCCGGATAGAAGTCGTGGGTACTGGTAGGATAGATAGTAGTGAATCACACACTGGTGATACTTATTCATAGAGTCTACCTCTATTGAACTAGATGTCTAATAGCTGTGTATAAAAGTCGCTGAGTTGTTTGATGTAGTTAACGGCTATTTGATATGCGCTCAAGATATGAATGTTGAGCTTGTTAGTGTCTATAGAGCTGTACCAGTTCTGCATGTCAATTACTGCCTGGAATCCTTGATCCATGAGTTGTTGAAAATGCTTCAGTTGTGTGGAAATGTTTGTTTCAGTTGCGTTCAAAGTTTAAATTGTGGAAACCATAATTTTGGTTTGGTGGTCAGAGGTTTTTATTAATTTTTGTTGATTACTCTGAGGTTTTTATTAATTTTTGTTGATTACTCTGGAGAGAATCAATGTGCTCGTGAATTTCTTCGTTGACTCCAAACACTGACGTAAGGGCTTTGCCCAATAATCCTCTTTTTTCCTTGTGCTGCATTTCTTTCAACGTTTTAATGATCCATCGTTCCAATTCCTCATGGAGGTGGTTTGTTACTTGTTAGTGATGTGCAATGGCCGTGCAGTGTGCAAAGGTCGTCAAATTGGCTAGTGATGTTGATATTTTCGGCTGCATTGTTGTTGTTTCAGGTAGGTAATCAATTTCAATTCTGAACGTTCCTCTATTAATTCTGGCAGATTCGAGATGCTCAATGTAAAACCCTGGTAGTGGATATTTCAGCGTGAGCCTTCCTTGTACTTGTTGGGCGACACTCACGAGAAGTATCATCATCATTGCATAAACGCTTCTGTAATAATTATTCGTAAGTTCTGCTTATACGGGTTTCTGTTGGCTGTATCGTAGTTGTAGTCACTATGTGACTGATTACTTGGCTGGGCGCAAGTGTCCTAGTTATTTCTTCAGTTTCACTTCCCACTGGTAGTGGAATCAATACATGAATGGGACGTCTTAATAATGCTCCATCTGCCCTTACTAGGGTGTACTTCAATGATCCGCGCTAATGGCCACGGGCTTGGATTTACGATGTTGTCTTTTATGATAACCAACGTTCCCTTTTTTAGGTTGCCCTTCTGGGCTGTCAATTCGTATCGTTGCTGAATTCTGCTCAGGTACTCTGTACATCATATTGTATTCCAGAAATCTTTCTTCATCTTCTGTATCAACCTCCATCGCTGTGATAACTCGGTAGTCATGTCTGTTGTTACTGGGCCTGAAGGTGATACCAATTCTCTTCCTATTAGGAAATGACAAGGCATGATAATCCAATTTGTCTGATAGCGGCCATAATGCCCTGGAGTTTAAACATGCTTCGATCTGGCATGTTAATGTTGATAGCTCTTCATATTTAAGTGGAGCTTCTCCTACAATACGTTTTAAATGGTGCTTCATGGATTTCACTCCAGCCTCCCACAAACCTCTCAAGTGTGGCGCCGCGGGAGGGATAAAGTGCCATTTGATTCCCAGGTTGGCAAGACAATTGCGTCTGTAACTGATGCGTCTTGTACTACATTTCGAATTTCTGTTTCAAACTGCCTGGATGATTCGACAAAATTGGTTTCATTATCAGTGTGTACGTTTGAGCACGTGCCTCTCCGTGCTACAAACCTACGAAACGCAGCTTAAAATGCGTCTGTGTTCATATCACTGACTACTTCTATATGGATGGCTTTTGTAATTATCCACAAAAACACCGCCTTTGTAAGACTTATGTCCTCTGCCTTCAGTGGCTCGTATTTGGATAGCCCCTGCGTAATCTATTCCAGTGCTAGCAAACATTGCTGCTGTTGTCACTCTGGCTGGTGGTAGTTGCCCCATTTGCTGTTCAGCGGTTTTTGCTTTGTAACGTAAACACGTCACACATGTGGTGATAATACTTTTCACTGCTCGTCGACCGTTGATTATCCAATACTTTCGTCTGATATATGCAAGTGTTGCTTGGTTTCCATAGTGTAAGTTCTTTTGGTGTGCATCTAGTATAATCATTTTTGATAATTGGCTATGGTATGGCTGAATAATAGGATGCTCTTCGTAATAGGATGCTCTTCGTCATAGGATAGAACCCATCTCTCCAGTCTTCCGCCCACTCTTATTAGCTCGTAATCATTCAAATGCAAATTGAAACTGCGTAGTTTACTATTGTTGTCGACTGTTTTCTTATTGTAGAGTGTTTTGTAATCGTGGGCAAATTCATCAATCTGAACTTTCCTAATAACCTGTGTTATTTTGTCAGACATTTCTTCTACAGATAAGGCTGACGAATCCTTCCCATTACAGATGCGTCGACAGTATGATAGTACCCGCACCAATCTTGCAATGTTGGAAAATCAGGTCTATTGGTCATTTTCTGCCTTTATTGACGCTTAGTGACACATTTTAACTTCTTGCTTTACATCTAGGCAAGTTTTTGTTGTGGGTAACTCAGCTGCAGACGATAACCAAGATGGTCCATTCCACCATAAATCGTGATTGATAAGCTTCTCTAGATCTATACTCCTAGATATTATATCTGCGGGGTTGTCACTTGTTCTTACATGATTCCGAGCACTCTTGTTGTATATTTCTGTGTATTTCGGCAACCCTGTTCGCTACAAATGTTTTCCATTCAGTCGCATCACCTCGAATTCATCATAACGTTATCATCGAATCACTCCATGCATATAACTGAGGTTTCTTAATGTCTTAAGCTCTGAGGGTGTTTTTTAGTACTTTTGATAATAATACAGCGCGGAGCTCTAATCTGGGAAGTGTAGTCTCCATCTTTCCAAGAGCCACTTTGGATTTTGCTTGGACTAATGTTATTATGCTCTCTCCATCGACTGTGTTTTTTGTACGGCTATAGATTACTGCCCCGTATGCTTTTTCAGATGCATCACAAAAACCATGTAGCTCTAACTGGCTGCCTTCATAATGTATCCATCTAGGGATTTCAACTTCTTCTATCTTCTTCAGTTGATTTTGTTAAATCTTCCACCTCGCAGCGGTTTCATCATCTAGGATTTGATGCCATCCCAGATTTTTTATCCAAAAGTCTTGGATTAATAGCTTTGCCTATTGGTGCCAGCAACCCCAATGGATTAAATGGTTTTAATATATACGCCGTTTTGTTAGGGTATGATTCTGTTGAACTGATACTCGAGATCTGAATGTATCTTCAGTTGTAGACCATAATACTCCAAGCGATTTCGTCGTATCATCCTGTGGTAACTGGTGGAGTTTGTTCTTGAATTTCCCTTGGAACGTTCTGAAGAAAATCGCTGTTGTTGCTCGACCATTTACGTAAATTGAATCCAGCGGATTTTAACATCTGGCACAACTGCCTTTGTTGTTCTATTGCGGAATCGATGGTGTCTGCTCCGTATAAAATGTCATCTCATAAAAATCTTGCAGCGTAACTTGGCTCGCTTTTGGATAACGGTGTTCCTCTGCTTGCGCTAAAGTCTGCAGTGTCTTGATCGCGAGATACGGCGCTGAAGTCGTCCCATACGTAACAGTTGTAAGCTGATTTTTCGGCTCTACATTGTATCCTTTGATATGGTTAATCATTGAGATGAATTCGATTCTGACGATACATTTTATCGATGTCCGCAGTGAATGCTACTTTGTGTTTTCTCCATCTTACAAGGATGTCTGCTAAATTCTGCTGTATTCTAGGACCAGGGTGCATGATTTCGTTAAGGTTGGTTCCAGATGATGTTTTGCTAGATGCATCGAAAGCAACCCGAAGTTGTGTAGTTGTGCTTGATTCTTTCACAAAGGGCCTGATGAGGTATATAATAATCTTTTCCGTTAACTTGCGAGCTTGAAACCTTCAACATATGTCCGAGCTCCAAGTATTCTGTCATGAACTTCGAATATTCCTCTTTAAGATTCTGATCTTGTAGGATTTTTTTTTCTAGGCTCAGTAGTCTGGCGACAGTCTTTGGTTTTGACTGTCCTAAGTAACTGGTTGAGTTGTTAAATGTAATCCTAACTATGAATGTGCCGTCCTTATTCCTTATTGTTGTTTGGTCATGGAATTCTTCACAGATTTGATAATTTTCTCTATACTTGTTAGCTTGTGTAACTTCTTCCAATTCCCAGAATTGTTTGTCTTCTTCTGCTTGAGTTACCAGGCTAACGACTTGTATTGGTGGTCTTTTGGTCTGAACTGGACCTAACACTATCCATCCCAGTTCCATGTTTTACTTAAGAAGATCGTCTTCAGTTTTCTGGATGCCATAAAGCATAATGGCCGCATATTCTGTAGCGCCAAGAATGGCGTCTATTCATTCTAACAATTTATTTTTCCAAGATTCTATTCCAGTAACTTGGACTTCTTCTGCAGGTATTGTTTGAGTTAACTTGGCCAGTACCTTAGGTACTAGCATAGTGAATTTGCTAGGAACTGGTGGTTTTAGATAGATATCTACAACCTATTTGATATGTATTCTGAGGTTAATTGCGTCTCTCCTGATGTCCCTGATGTAACAGTGTTTGATGACGCCGATTGCACGTGTTTCATTTGTTCTTACTGTAACAAGTCTGAGTGACCTCCATGATTCATGCAGTTTTGGCATAAGCGGTTCTTAGATACGAACTGGTTTCTTTCTGCTTTTTCACAATACGAGCAGTAGTTGCTATTGCCGTGTTCGATAGTTTTTCCCACTGACGGCGTTACAGTTTCTAAAGACTGAAATCTTCTCTCCAAAAATTTCATGGACGTATCAAACTCTTGTATTTCATGAGGGTTCTAAATGCTCTGCTCATAGACTTTGTTCGTCTCCAAGTCCCATTTCCTTGAAATAAGTCGTAGTAGCATTGGACCCCATGACTGTTTCCACGCCCAAATTTGTGATTGCTTGAAGGCATTCCTTGGTTACATCGTGTAATTGTTCAATTTTATCTGCTCTTTCCACTGATTACTGAAAGATCAATGATTTTGTCTAAAAGTTTTGAACGAGAAGTCTTGAATTCTGATATACGACCCAGTAGTAAGCTCCATGCTGTCTCGTAATTGGCCTCTGACATTGACAGATATTGAATGACTCTACTGGCGTCACCTCGTACATGCGTCTTCTAATATTGCATCTTTTCTGTGGTAATGATTGCTTAATTTTCATGTATCACTTGCTTGAATATGTTATGAAGTATTCGAGCCAATTGTCATAATTTCCATGAAAGAATGGAATTGTTACTGCTGGAACAGTCACATGCTGTCTGGTAACTGTAAGTGCTACTGGAAACGCAGGTTGAATTGGTTAGCTCTCATTTGATTTTTCTGTAAGCTTTTCCATAATGGCTTGATACCGCTGCTGGGTACTGAACAAGCGGTTCTGTTTGACGTAATCGTCTCTGAACTGGTTTTCATTGATTGTTATTGCCTCGTGTAAGTGTTTGATTGCGACCCATTGTTTTTGAATCTTCAGTCGTTGAAGTTCATAACAGCTTTTGGATCTTTCTTCGCGTATTTCTTGATCGATTTGGTCCATAGTGTTATCGATTTGCTGAAGTCTAAATTTTTGTTTTTTAAAATGCTGATCTTGTTCAGTAGGTTCAGATTTGGCGTTGGTACTTTCTTCTTGTTTGCTGGTGCTTGCAAATGCACCAGCTTGTAAGTAGTTCTTGTATTCCTCGTATTTTGCATTAACTTCGTCAAAGTAATCATGGGCATGATATGGGTGCTCAGGCGCGTCAATTTCTTGACACTTTTCGTCCAATTTTTTGAAATTCTCCCATATCTCTTCTAATGATTTTATTTGATTGGATATGCTTATCTGTTTTTCTTGATTGGACGTCTTTTTTCGCATTTAAATGAGCTTGCACAATCGGTTTTCCCGCATTTTCCACCTATAATGCCAGATTATTCAATGTTGCCATAGGTGTCGCCATTATGAAGGCAGGAAGGCCATACTTGTTACTGTAGGAGGAATGACCTGAACCTGGTAGCTTTTGGATCGGCGCTTCAGTACTCTTGGTAGTGGACGGATTTGGACCTGGTAGTTGAGGTAGCAAGGACGGAATGTATGATTGTATGTTTAGACCGGTGTCTAAAGGTTAACCCCGAGGGGCACGAGTGTATGTGTAAAATAGGAATGTAGGAAAATAGGGAATGACTGAAAGGAACCACTTCTACCCAAGGTACTTGCAGGTTTGAGAAGACCCTAATCAGTTGTGGGGGTAGTGTTCAACCTTTAGGTATCACCTTTTTGCTCGAAGGAACAATGTGCAGGATGGTACGCCCTGTATCTAGTGTTTCGTAGTTGGAGATGTGTTTCAGGACAGTGAGCCCTGAATGTAGGTTTCTTGTTTCTTCCGTATAGAAGTCGTGGGTACTGGTAAGATAGGTAGTAGTGAGACACAATGAATAATAATTGAATCTGACTTTATTAACACACACAGTACTATTTCTATATAATATTTTGCTGATGGTTCAGATAATTTGGGACGTTTCTATGAGGTGATTGTGATTTGTTATGCTAACCAATTGCCTCATTAATTACCTTGTTTAAAATATTTCGTCCGGTGGTCCTCATACCATTTTTAGTTATAGAACAAAATGTGGTTCTCTTATGGCGAAATAATTCGATTGTTATTTTTAACGAAATGTAATAGGGTTATTGTTTTATAATATAATTATAAAAATTCCATGTATGATCTTAATTAAGATTAAATAAATTGAGATTAAACAATAGGCGATAGAGCTACAAGAGTCTTTCAATCTAATATACATTTCAAACAAACTCAAGTTGATTCACCTACAACAAAGTTAATTTTGTTTAAAGAACTTTCTCGAAACCGTTCACGTTTGTAGACGATCCTGTATTGTGCAGACTGTGCTTAATATCGACTATTTCCCGAGCCTGAAAATACAATATAATATGCTATTCTAATGCCAATTTAATTTGCAGAGTCTGTTTCGTACGAGTTCGGACCGAATCCGGGAATTATAACGTACACATTTCCCGAAGACAATAGGCCGGAAATGCAAGAAGACTCCATCGCTTTGGGCTTTATTACGACGAAATCGGATGCGGTCTTGTTGAAAATTATTAGCGGGACTTCAAATGATTACATCGAGATTCATATTGTAAGTATTGTTGGCTTGTTTCCCAGTATAAACTGGAAATATAACTTTTAGGTAGAAGGCAACGTATTCGCTGTGTACAATTTGGGCACAAACGATCACCCCTTAGGTGAAATTTCGGTCAAAGTTAACGATAATCAATACCATGTAGTCAAATTCCATAGACAAGGATATAATTCAACATTGCAAGTCGATGATTACAACGTGCAATCCAGTTTTCCTAGTGGTAAACAAAAATATTATTTCAATTATTGCATAGAACCTATATAAATAAGATAATTAAATCAATTAATTTTTGATTTTTCCTTATTAGTTATTATGATAATCTCGATTCATCGTTTTATTTATGCCGCTTGATGCAAATAAAATAATTCCGAGAACAAAAACGATAACCTCTAGAACGATAAGAACGCTTAATTTTAGGAAACCAGTTGCAAGTGTTTAACACACAGTCACAAATTCACATTGGTGGCAAGTGGAGCCGTGGCAAAAAAAGAATAGACAGGCCATTCTCCGGAATTATTTCCGGTGTAGTGGTTAATGCTTTAAGAGTCCTCGACTTGTCTGCCGAAAAAGACGTGCACGCTTCCATCCGAGGTGACGTGGCTTTAGTTCAAGGCATTCTAGAACGACACGATTTACAAAAAATGCAGCAGGTAACCATAACTAAAACATTACCTAAACTTGTCCGTTTTTGCATTCAAACTTGTGCTTTTAAATGTGTAGATTTGCTATTTGGTTCTATTTTTGGTTCTCCAAATACGTCCAATGTTCCAGACGCCGGCCTCCGGTTTTCCCGGCATCGAAGACGATCTCATCTTCAGCGGTGCCGGTTCCGGATGTAACGGCGATGACGAAGACGAGTGTCCGCCTTTACCCGAAATGGGTTCTGGTGACGATTTGATTACTCCTGTTTATATACCGCCGACAAGGCCGCCGCCAACGGTGAAACCGAAAAAGAAAGTCGTCGTTAATGGAAAGGATTGTGATGATGAAGATTGCATCGATGGATCTGGTTCTGGTGAAATTACTGAGGATCCTACGTTTACTAGCAGCAAAACAACAGGTAGGAACTTATAGTGAACACTTATAAGGGGAATGCAATTATCGATAACTTACAGCGAAAAAGGCAATTGTGCACTACGTGCTCTTTTTCAAATAAAAATGCATTCCGGAAAATTTCCCGAAAATTATCGATAATTTCCATTGCACTCGTTATATATTACTATTGAAAAATTTTTGACACTTCTAAACCAAGTTCAATTTTGTTATTTATTGTTATGTGACACAAATCACCCAATCATGTCAACATTATACTGAAAACAGCCCTAGGGTTGTTTTCACTCTATAATATGTTAGTGTGAACTTATCCATAAGATCTCAGCCATAAAACTAACGAATCGCGGTTAGGCCTACTTTTAACTATACCGGCCGAATTCTCATAAATTCTGGGGCCTGTTTGTGTCATATTGGAAATAGCTATGAATGTTAGCTACTACTCCTAGCAATAAACAAAAATTAGTTTTTTCTCCAAACGTCAGAAAAACGTCACTTTGTTAACCCCTGTCAAGATGTCAGAAATTTGATTTCTATGCTGCTAGGCAAATCCAGTGGGTAATACCTGTCGAGGTGGTAGAAATTTAATTTCTATGCTGCTTGGCAACCCCAGCGGCAGCAAAAGTACTTTAAGTGCCGCTGGAGCGGCAGTAGAAGTACTTTTAGTGCCGCTCGTACTTTTGCTACCGCTCAACCATCCACTTGCCCCCGAGCTTACCACATTTGTTTGGAGAAAAAATAGCGTGTTGCATACGGAGTAGAAGCACTTTTTTGTGCTTCAGCAGTATTGCAAGCCTCACTACGTTCGGCTCGCAAACCTACCGCTTCAGCACAAAAAAGTAAGTGTAATGCCCCGCCGTCAGAGTATAGAGCCTACAATCGAAAATTGACAAAAATCACGACTTTTTTAGGTTTTTTTTTTTGAGACCCTCCGATGGCGAGGCATTACACAAAACTAATTTTTCTTGACTGCTAAGGGTAGTAGCTAACATGTGTAGCTATTTTCAAAGCGGCACAAACCACTGTGTAGAGACTACATTCGAAAATTGACAGAAATCACGACTTTTTTAGGGTTTTTAATTTTTTTGAGACACTTAGAAGGCGAGGCATTACACAAAACTAATTTTTCTTGATTGCTAGGGGTGGTAACTAACATGTGAAGCTATTTTCAAAGCGGCACAAACCACTGTGTAAAGACTACATTCGAAAATTGACAGAAATCACGACTTTTTTAGGGTTTTTAATTTTTTTAATACACTGAGACGGCGGGGCATTACACAAAACTAATTTTTCTTGATTGCTAGGGGTGGTAGCTAACATGTGTAGCTATTTTCAAAGCGACACAAACCACTGTGTAGAGACTACATTCGAAAATTGACAGAAATCACGACTTTTTTAGGGTTTTTAATTTTTTTGAGACACTCAGACGGCGGGGCATTACACAAAACTAATTTTCCTTGATTGCTAGGGGTTATAGTATCTAACATGTGTAGCCATTTTCAAAGCGGCACAAATCACTGTGTAGAGACTACATTCGAAAATTGACAAAAATCACGACTTTTTTAGGGTTTCTAAAAGCTTTCGAAATCTGTTATAAACTTTTTTTGGATAAATATCAATGTCCTTGGGCTATTACTACTGATTATTTCATTCATTATAAAATAGACCTATCAGACAACGTCATTTTTTGAATGAATTTTGTTTAAATAAGTGATTATTTCACAAGACCTTGTTTATCAGCGATTAAATTTTTGTTTACCTTTTTTGACAGAATTTTGATAGAAATATTCTGACATTTTATAATAAATAGAACTCTTTGGATAGGATTGACGCCAATAATTAAGTCCTAATTATTCAGGAAATAATCTAGCCGTATACCACTCGACCTATAAATTTAAATGGATTAAACTATCCAAATACTTTTTGCATAATTTTCCTTTTTGGCAAATAGTTTCATGCACAATAACTTTTAAATAAAAGCCCTCGACCGCTCAAAATATGTTGGATAGTTTAATCGATTAAATTTAAAGGTCTTGTGATATAATATATGAATATTTCCCTCATGTATAAAAAAAACCCATAAGAGGAATGCAATTCTAAGGGTACCCCCTTTGGATTTTCATTTGTAAATGTTCAAGCCTCAATATTTCAGTAACCAAAAGCAATACTGGGACAAAATTTTTAGGACTTGTAGCTTTCAAATTTTAAGAAAAGCTTCAAAATGCTACCTAGTTGAAATCGCTAGCGTTTACGGTTTTTGGGAAAATCGAGTTTGCGGTTCAATATTTTATTTTTTGTCCAAAACAAAATATGTTTGCCGGCGGTGTCGGTGAAACACTTAGTGAAAGAGAAAGACAAATATACAATTATGATGTTCCCATTGTAGCTTTTTTGCCGTGACGTCATCTACTTGAAATTGCTTGAACTGCAACTGTCAAATTTTCACCTTCAAAATTACTTTTAAGATTATCTCAAAAAATCGGCAATAATTTTCAAAATTCTTTGGCATAAACATTATTTGATAGATTATCTACAATTCGAATATGTATTTTTTTGTGGTTAGCAATAAAATATCCTTGTTCAGGCTGTGTGCCTCAAGATCACACTAGCTTAACTACGGCTTGAGTTGAGCAGCGGGATGGTAAGGACTTGTGAAATATTTCACTGTCAGAGAGCAGCCTCACTCTCTGCTATGGCCAATGAGGCTTGGGCACAGTAAATTGTCGAAGAGAGACACCGTACACTGGTTGAATCTGATTTATTGAGTTTGATACATCGTCTTTTATATTAAATCGCTATTATTATTACGTAATATTTTGATATAATACTTATTATGAGTATGAAGACGCATATTGTTTTATATCGTTTTATTCCTAAATATATTGTATGCTTATAATCTAGTTTTCTTGTTTGATATTATAATAAACTTGACCTTATTTAGATTAAGTAAAGATTTAAATTTTAATGGAATTGAATTTTCATGTAAAATTCGTAATTATACATTCTGCTGCCTCTCCAGAATAGAAGATCTCAAGGACTGTAGTTCAAACTCGCCTTTTTTGTCTTCGCCTTGACCCGTTCATCGGTTCTGTTTGGTTTGTTGGTGTTTCAGAATCAGAATATAGTTTATCGTATACCATGCTGCAATGCCAATGCTGATTATCCCAGTGGTAGTGATGCTGCTAATAGCTACGGAATGATGATGAATAGTCCGCCATACTGTGCTGTCCAACTCTGCATTCAAATTCTTCTCATCATCTTCCAACTCTTTCAGGTTGTCAGTTAGTCTGAAAACTAACTCAAAGGGTAGGTTCTGAGGGTGCTTCACATTGACTGTACTATTTATTATTATAAAAACTTCTTTGGAGTAGCTGCCCAGTACTAAAATGCTTCGTTTAGGAGTTAAAATATTCTGTTTTGTTTTGATGATGCATTCCTGAGATATTTGAATAATGCCTGTTGTATTTATTGCAACATCTTCCCGCACACCGTCACAAATGACAGATATGGTTGTTGAGGAATCCGTAATGAACATCCATGTGTTGGGTGCGCAGAGCTCCTTCCATATGATGCTTTGTATATTGTTCATTTGAAGCTTGCAATGCCTTGGTTCTGGTCGTTCTGACTGAAACTGGAGAGCAGATAAAGTGATGATCATATGACTTGAGTGTTTTAATAAATCGCAATATATCCATCTGGAAAGTTCAGAGTCCAATAGGTACCATTTCCAGACTCTTAAGGTACTGGTGTTGCTCGTATCAACTCGAATGCAGTTACATCTGCAATGGAGAAATATCCGAATATCTGAATGTGTGTCTTATTGGTAGTCAACTTTGTCGTTGTTATTGAGGATGCGACAATCTTCAGATTACTTGGAAACTTCTGACGGGTTTGTTCAATGATAGAGTGTACATATGCTGGTGAGATTAAATCGTATATGGTTCCTCTGTTGAAATGTATATCTAGTAATTTATCTTAGTGTTCGCTGATTTTGCTTATGAAATTTAGTGCCACTTGGTAGGCACTGGGAAGGTGGATATTTAATGCATTGGTATCGATTTGTTTGTACCAGCTTTGCATTTTGTTGATAACTTCAATTCCTTGATTATGTTTCTTGAGAATGTTGTAGTTTAGTGTTTATTTTGGCTTCGGTTTCGTTGAACTTTGCAAAAGCTGAAATCATGAACTTGGCTGGATGCTTTGATTAACTATTGTTGATTTTCATTTAGTGCATCTATGTCATGATACACTTCATCATTGTCGCCAAAGACTGCGGTTAAAAATTTTCCAAATAATCCTCTTTTCCTTCTTTGGTGATGGACGCTGTTGAGGGTGCCATATACCCACTAGGTGTGATTTTACAATTGTTCTAAATGGTGTATTAATGAAGTACATTCTACTTCATTTGTAATTTCGATTGACCTGATGCACAGTGCTTCAAAATGTCGAACAACATTGGATATTGCCATATTATCTGCTTGGCTTCTATTTTTTGAGTGTACTATTTCCATGCGGAAGATACCTTGATCCATTCTCGATGATCCGATATTCTCTACGTATATTCTATGTTGAGGGTAATTTATTCTGAATCTGCTTTCTGCTGTGATAGTGGAAATGAGCATACGGCAGGCTAGTAGGAGATGTAGCAATTGCGATTTGGACGATGCCTGGTTTCTAGTGTTTCTAGTTATTGGCGTTAGGTCACTTGTTGCAGAGTAGTTTGTAATTTTTGAAACTGTGAGGCTCTCGTCTTTTTCTATCGGAAGTGGAATTAGTTTATGAATCGGCCTTTTCGTCATGGTGCCTCCTGCTTTCTTTATTTTAACTACTCGAACTGCACCATCCTTTCCTGGGCGGATTTCAGAGATTCGTGCCAGCGGCCATTGATTCGGATTGACGTTTTCTTTTTTTAGTGGGTGGTGCTAACAACTCTCTTCCTATTAGGAAGTGGCCAAGCGTTAACACACTAATGTCGTCTGTATCTTCTGTCAACGGACGAAGTGGCCTCGA